CTTACGTTACTTATAGCTTTGGAGTTTATTTTAAAATTTTGGGATGACTTTTGACAATTGTTTTGTTATAAAATTAAAAGTGTAATATAGATATACAGTCTGTTCTCGATAAATAAAACTGCCTTAACTTAAAATAATCTTAAAGTCTCTACTATTCACTCTTAGTTAAGTGTACTGTAGTAAATTTTTTAAAAGCTTTTATAAATCATTAAATTAAATTGATGAAACCCTAACGTTGTGTTGCTCGAATTTCGATCAACGAGTATCGATTCTTGATCGGAATGGGAATAGAAAGAATCTACATAAAAATACTGATACTACTATTTTCATTGTTAATGATGTGAATACATGGAATGTATCGATGGATATAGTTGTGTTGAAAAGTTGTCTTCTTTTACAAAAATTGCAAATAAACTGCAGCATGATAAGTGAGATTGTTCCATTGAGTAGTATCGGGCATGCTGTCAAAACTTACACATATCCAATGGGAAAACAGTGAGACCATATGCAGTTTGTTAACGTTATCTTAACTTAGATGATATTCAGGAAACGAAGTCGGATGTCAAGTGACGATCAACAACTAGGCAAGCTGGATATATATAAACGGGTTGGCTATGTCATCAATGCGGTTTAACGTGCGTCACGTTGATAGCATAATAGAATCATGTGCTATGATGTCACAGTGTCCAATCAGCTCTCCGAACTCACTCGCTTCAGCATTTAATGCGTTTTATAAAAACCTTTCATTTAAATTATTTATTGTGAATAATTAATAATGTTTTAAATAATAACTAAACTTCAATTTTAGTATCCCTTGTCATTTTCTTTTCACCTAGTTCAAGTGAAATTTTATTTTCTCTATCAGACAAATATATTGTCTGAGTGTGCTTCACTTTCTTCACTGCGTCTGACTATATTGAATTTGTTCTACTACTTTTTAGTTTCCTCTCACATTTGATATCTTGATGTGCCTCCTGTGTAAAATTTTTACTTTTAGGTTAATTTAAATATAATTTTGATTAATCGTTCAAAAAAATGTACTTTTAATTCATATAAAAGCAGAAACAAACTTGCCTTTAGCAATTGGTTTACTTAAGTGGAATAACAGTACAACCGTGATCGGATAAAGCTTCTATTATTTAATCCGGGCAAAGTTATAGAAATAAATCGATTTCGGATCGTTGCTCCTATAGGAAACGCGATTACACGCTGGGAGGATGCTCCCTGTAATGCTCATTGAATTCGTTGAATGGAAATTATGCGCACTCGTGCGCGCGGTCTGTCGAATCCAGTGACATGGGGTTTACAATTTTTGTTCCTGTACTTACAGTTACACAAACTAACAACACAATGTTAATCGGAGTTTCTAATTGATGTAACCCAAATCATGAAATACAATTTTGTCAGGTGGAATGATCTAATTTTAAATTGTTGAAAATATTGAACTCTCTTCTACATATATGTGTCTCTGTTAATAAACATAGTATTAATAAACAATATGGAATTAATTTTAAAAGAATTCAATTTGAGTCTTTATTTTTGCTTTTTAAAAAAGCAGTTAAATTTTATCTTAATTTAAAAATTAGCAATCCGGGAACCGAGTGAAATAGGAGGTGTGAACTTTCATCGTTGTATGTGACGATTTCGTCTAACGTACATAATCCATTTTCTAATGGCGATCATTACGACTGTTTCGCGTTCCGGCAACCCTTTGCATTAGTCGGCGCGGCGCAGCTCCCTATAGTGAAATTGATTACCAATAGTACAGTGTGCTTTCTGTCTCCTCTTCACCTCCACCTCCTTTTGGACAGTAATGATGTTTTGATGCGAGAGACCTGGTGCTCCATGTATCGACTGCAGTTAACTAATGGAAGCTCTTCGATAATTGCAAATGGTCGAAGAGAGTAAATGTTATTGTGTGCAGTAATCATCGTTACCGAGGTGTACATACATGACAGGGAAAAATTATTTTATTTATAAAAGTTGTTCTCATTTTATTCTCATAGTATTTATAGAAAATAATGGAGTAATTGATTTTTTGCATAAAATATATCGACGCTTTCCGTTCATATAATTCTTATTTAAAAATTCGTACAAGATAATTTTTATTAAATTTTCTGTGTAATATGATTCTTACAAAAAATTTAGTGCAAGACAATTCTACTCAATTTAACATGCAGATATTCATATGTTCAAACATATTTAATAAATAATTTACATTTAATATTTAATTATTTTTATTATTTTCATTTGATTACTAAAAATACTTTATTAAATATAACCTTCAATTTGGATAGGAAATATTGAATAAGTGTGCCTACAAATTAATGATATTTTCGTATTTGACTTGCGTGCATTATTTGTTTTGCTTTTTTTGTGGTATAAATGTGCAAAGTATTAGGATGTTTGTCACTGATCCACAAATCGAATCATTTGTCCTATGCTATAGATGCATCCATAGTGAATGCGGATTTCACATGCCGCAGTATGTATCTAGGCGAATTCAAGCATATTATTCATGTATGCGCACAGAGTGCACTAAATTTAGCCACGGTACGGGAGGTCATGCAGGAGACACCCGTTACGGTGAGTTTTATACTCTTTTTACGCGAAACCGTCATATGCTCGCCTCCTATTCCGGCCCCATAAAAATACAGGGTCCTTTGCAACTCACACAACCCACTCTCTCGTGTTCATCGATCTTTTCAGCTAAAATTCTCCCTATCCAAAATTTTTTTCTTTAACACACTCGACATTCGTTAACCAATAACTGTTATGAATGGACTTTTGAAAATATTATAAATAAATATAGACGAAGAAAATTGAGTCAAGTATTTTGAAAATAATTTTAACTCTTCTTGCGGTAAATATAAATTATGAAAAAAATGCGCTAGAGAACGTATTGGAAGAAGATAAAAATTTACTTTTTAAAGAGCCAAAAGTCACAACTTAAGAGCTGCTTTTTCTAATATGATAAACGCTGGGTGCTTTACGGAAACGGAAATTGTTGGTTGAGGGTGAAATCTAAAGAGCGGCTTAAATATGGAGGATGGGTACAGACTTGATAATCAAAACTGCATTAAAATGTTGAAAGCCTGAATTGCTGGAAGAAGGGAGTGACGAAAAGTGTTTTGTCATCCAACGATCAGTACAGATGGCAATATGCAAAATTACTCTTTGATTTTCCCCATCATATTATTAACTCACAATAAAATATTTTTAGAAATTTGAAACTCTTTTTTTGCATATATTAATTTTTCTCGTTTGAATATTTACGTGCTGAGCTATTTGAAATGTAAAGTTTAATCGGCTCTCCTGGCTTTGGTGGCGAGTTTTCCAGGGACGTTATTTTTGTTGGTTTCTCGCAGATTGTTTGTCGTGTGGATACGCACTGGTGTGAGAATTCAGTAGGTTGGGCAGTCTGTCGGTTCTCTCTCTCTCTCTCTGGGGTGGAATGGCGCGCCATTGTTCAGGCGATATTTCAGCAACAGGGTGGCCGACGGGGCGCGGGAGTCAGCTGGCTGTGACATGCCGCCTACGTTGGCAAAGGGGAACCATATAGTCGCTCAGAAGCACCAGAAATTGGAAAAGAGGCCTCTATGATACTTTCTTTCTCTCCCGCACCTCCTCTCAAGACACTCTTTTATCAAGCAATAACCAGAGACTATGTATCTTTCAAATCTTTACTTTGACGATACCAGTTTATAATACCATAACCCAAAACCACTTTCAAGACGATTTCATGCTTTAGCTTATTTTTCTTCCCACTCTGCGCTAATTTTTCAACTAAAATCAATCTCTACTGTGCACTTTAAATTTTTGAAAATTTTTTTCAAGAAACTTTCAAATTTCAGTATGTTATTAGCCTGCGCTTTTTAGTTGCAAAAGATACCTTTAATTCTTATACATTTTTACCTTAATCTGCTTTCATAAATTATTCATGAACAATTGTAGTTTGTAATAATTATTCAGTATGTTAACCTGTTGGTAAAGCTAAAGCTTCTTCTCTTTGAGTGTATTTGGAGAAGTGAGCTGTGATGCTGATTCCGAATTCAACCGGAAGTTACTGGGCGGCAATAACATGACAATAGAAGGGTGCTAGAGCGCACATATCTGTATAATAAACGGGAGTTTAATAATTATTATTCATAAGACTCCCTCTTGCATTCTCGCGAGAGATTCGACCAGGCGTGGAGCTCTGCAAGAAAGAGCTATCGCAAAACAAGGGGTTCATTTCTCGAGAACCCCTCTGGCCAGGGTGGTTTGTGGATGAATCGAAAGTCAGAAGATAGAGGAAGAGGTGGTGGTCGACATGGTGCTGCTTGAGTCAGTCGAGCAGAAACCCAATCACTTCCGGCGTCTGCGCCCATTAGGGCGCCGCGACGCTGACGTCGGCTGACGTACGCCTCCTTCCTTATTCTCATCTTACCCCCCCCCCCTTCTCTCTCTCTCTCAACAAACCCCAAAACACAACCGCAAATCTATTGTTTGGTTATCGCCTGTTCGAAAGCATCTTTCAGCGTGGCTAATGATGTTCTAAGGAGGACATTCTTATTACTCTCTAGCCAAGAAGAGCTCTTTCGATAAACGAGATTTCTACCCTTCTCTTTTGCTTTTATCGTCTTTCTGTTCTGTGGACTCAAAGCTTTTATTGTTTGCTGTATTCAAAATATGTAAGGCCTCATAGTTAAAGGTAACACAGGAAAAAAGATTTTGTTCTTGATACAAGTAAAATTTCAGTAGTGTAAAAACTATATTTCCTTGTACGCGTTGCTTTACCCAAATCTGGTGTTAAAATAGCGCACCTACAGCCTAAATTTGTTGAAGATGATTTTAACGTTAAAAGAAGTGGTACAAATCAGGTGGAGAGTTAATTTTAGTTTCTGAGACATCCCCAGTGTTGTGTCTCAACACAATTAATATCTCTTCTTTAAAGAGTTTTCTTTGCGTTAGCTAAATTAAAATTTGTTTAATGTCGTCATTCTTCTTTTCTGTTACAGGTTCATTAATGCGAGGCGTAGAATCGTCCAACCTATGATTGATCAGAGCAATCGAGCCGGTAAGTCGAGAACAGTTTTTTAAAACAGTTTTCTAACACAATACAACATAACAATCTTCATTTAAAAACTGAAATAACATTTTTTCAATAAAATTTTGATTCATGGCATTATCCACTGTCCTGTTGTATTAACAAATTGAATTACCATCTATAAATATACCACTCTCTTTACATACCTGGATATTTATATTTTATTGACAGGAGTAAATAAAATTATGCACGCGAACGTTTTCTATCGACGAAATTGGTATCTTTCGTCGTATTTCGGATGTTGCCTCGGGTGGAAAATTCAAAAGCGTAAAAAGTCTTTTTCGCCCTCTAATCTGTAAGAACGTCGTCTTTACGAGGTGGGAATCACTTCGTTTGCAGTAAAAGGCGACAACAACGGCTCCTGGGAGGGTTGGGGATCAGACTTGTTGTCTCACACCCCTTCATCGGAAAAGAGGGCTTGAGGGTTCCCGGTAGAGTAGGCAGAAGGTGGATAACGTTCGAATAATGGTAGGATAATTGGTAGCGGTGATCAGAGCGAGTTTTACGATCCGACAACATGCGGTCCGTTCTTTCGAAACCCCTTCTCCATCATTCTTGCGTTCTTTCCTCCTCTTTATTTTCACAATTTTATCTCTGCCTCTCTCATTTCTCTAAACAGCTTCCTTTCTTTTCCTCGAATCTCAAACTTGCCTTGCTCTACAGTTTTTTTCTACTCAGGAAAACTACAGCTCTTAAGAAAACTTCCAAATCGAGGGAGGTATTTCGGAATCAACGGCCGAAACACAGGGCGATTCGCCTATTTTTACGACTACAGTCCCGACTGCTGGAGAGACCCACCCTCCATCTCATAAACACTCACTGAGTTACGGGTTGTTTGCTTTAACGAAACTGGGCTTTAGGGGTTGCTGTAGTTGAAAATAAGAGTTTTGGCCACATCAGACAACAAATTACTTTCGCACAGTAGGACTACTTCTTTACTCTGTTTTCATCTAGGCAACTAATCCGAAGGTTTGTGGTTATTTTGGAAGAAATGCCGAGTTTTTTTTGGTAGATGTTTTTCATTCTTACGAAATGAAAACTGTTTGCGGAACTCGAAAATTATTTTGGTTGTTGTCGCCTCTAAAGATTTATCAAAAAAGCGTGCGCGTATATAGACGAGTTCATGGGGTGAGAAAGCAAAAGAGACATGGTCCCATATAGGGTAAAGTGGAAACTCATGTTCGTCAGATTATTATTCTGATGTCAATCCCGATCATTACCAAGTCCCCCTTTTCCTATCTTTTTCTTCATTTCGGTCTGTACTTTCAGATCTCCGTTAACTTGTCGTTCTGTCACTCTTTTTGTTAGTACTTTCCTGTATATTCAAGTTATTTACCAGTCAACTATTCAAAAGTGCCCCTTTAAAATTTGTGGGCGAAATGATTTATAATCCGAACCTGCTCATGTGACTACAATTTGAACAAAAAGTTTACAAAACAGCTTTTATTTGGAAATAAACGCATGAACTTATATTTCTTTATATTTTGTAAATTATTTAAAATTATTGATTTTTTTAAACATAATTTATTTTATCTGCATGAATAATACTAAACGCAACGTTTATGCCATGGAAATTGAAGTAAAAATTGATATAAAATTAGAAAAATAATTGTGTAATTCTAAATCATGATTCCCTTGAGGTTTAAAAAATCACAAAAAATACTATTTGTGATTATAGAACATTTTTGTCTCTTAATGGCCAAGGGCAGATTCTCTTGTCCATGTCAGTTCTCCATCGATCTCTGCATCAGGAATCCCTTCGAGATTTCATCCTTCCTCCCTTGCTTTCCAGATCCGATACTCTCTGATACTTTAATAGTCGAAATATTGCCCCAAGGGCAGATTTTGTTCTTTCGGAAGCTATAAATGATAAATGTGTCCAACAGTATTATATGTCCCTTCTCTATCTTTGCGATATTGAACTTTTTTGCTGTTTTATAATGTTCTTAGTATAACTGCATCTTAATTGTAAGATGGAATTTTTTAAGCTCAATATTGATTCTATTCTTTTGATAAAGCTTCGAAATAAACTCATTGAGATGAAAATAGCGTGCATAAAAACCCATATTAATGAACTCAAGTTGATTTTCAAGAGTATCTTCTAGTTATCTGAGAGCATCCCACCGTTGGCTGTAATGATGTTCCAAGTTGGCCGCATCATCAATCATACTTTCATTACAAAGATTGCATGCTCTGCATTGACTCTGTGCGTGCCCGCGGGACATTGTTATTACGAGTTGCACTGTATATACGATCTATGTGGACAATACATCGCGAAACGACGAGCCTTATTTAAGGTACGATATTGCCTGTAGCCAATCGAGAGTTTATTACCCGATTGGCGAATTTCTATCGAAGCAAACGATTTGATTGATATACATGGCTGATATACATTTAAATTAATTCAAGGTACGTTTGTTTTAAAATATTGTACAATGTCAGCAGTTTTTCTCTACTTATTCAATTCGCGTTCAATGAATTACACAGTCGCGTTATTGGCTCGATTGTCAAATTGCAAGTGGGAAATTTGTGTAGGGTTGAGATTGAGCAATTGGGAAAGCGTTGATTGAGCACCAGTTCGTAGATATTAGTATAAAATTAGCTCCCGCTGGTAAACGAGCGGCAACGGTAAATGCTCGTATGGGTTTAATGCTCCCGTTCCTAATACCGCTCATAAAACCACGATCCCTTTTAAATCCCCTCCCTTCAATCACACCCGCGTATGTACACGCGCACGGCCCAGTCGAACTATAAACTATAAACCCGCAGTGCATCATTTTACGATGTACAAGCTGCCACGTTGGCTCCCCTGCCTACGTTTCTATTAGGTTTATATGACGCGAGAGGACTTCTCCCTCTAGTGGGCTATTCTACGTAAGCGTGGGAGTATACAAGTGGAGTGAGACTTTGTATGAATTATTAAGATCTGGCTTTCAATTATTCTCGTCTTGCATAAACCATTTTTATCCGTCCATTAAATTGAAGCCATAAATTTTCAGCGCTAAAATCCTTTAGACAATGTTTGCTTATCATATATTGGATGCTTATCTTATTATTTCTCTCGAAACAATTTTCAATTTCTCTAAACCTTCTAATTTCAATTGATTCCTTTGATTGATCGCAGAAAGATTGAATTATTTCGAGGGAATAAACTTTCTTTAAGAACTGTTGTGAAAAATGATTTGCGAGGGTTCTTTTTATTATCGTCCGATAAAAACATAAGACCTTCTGTCGTAGACACTGATGGCCCGGAGTAGTTACTGCTCAGTTGGTAACACTGCTTGAATCGCCCTACGTGTTTCCGGAACGAGGTTGTAAAAACGTAACAGCGCCCTGAAGTGCCGTAAAGCTCTGACCGTAAGGTGCATTGCACGAGAATGGCGCAACAAGGGGTCAGAGTGCTATGGCGGAGTTGAAACTGTTTCTCATCTGATGATTTTCTCACTTTGGATGCTTTCAAAGTCAATTGATCCTTTCTTTACTGCAGAACTTAAAGAAAAAGTGTTGTCGCTCTTTATTGCTATACATTTCAAATATTTTGTGTGAAAGTTTCATAAAGATCCAAACAGTCTAAATGTATATTTATTTAAATTTTATTCTACATAAATTAATTGATCCCATGATCGAGATTTAGTAAACGTATATTTCTCAAAACTACTTTCATGAATCGATCTTTACAAAATTTTAACCGCATATTCGTGACATGTATGGTGCAAAATCGATTTGTATCAAAATTTTGATTTTTATTACATTTTCAAACCAAACAACTAAAAGAACCTTATTTTTCGAAATATTTCTATGATTTTTCTAACTTCATACACAAATGTATTGAATTAATTTCTTTGTGTATATTGAAATTATGAACATTTTTAATACGGCCTGTGTGGAAATTTATTGTGGAAATGTATTGGAAACTGTACAGTTGAGCTAGATTCAATCGAACAACTTGAGAGGAAAACTGGACAGAATCAAGTAGGGTATGTGACGCTAGGGATAGCTAGTTTTTTTCCAGGTCTGTTGTCTAATCCCTTTCTAGTACAATAAAAATTTCTAGCCAGTTTCAATTATATTAAAATATACAATTTCTATCTACCCAAGGGTCGATCCAACTTCAAATAGATATAGTAACACCTACACAAAAAAAATTAAATATGGAATGAATTATACATTTAACACATTATTTATAATTAGAGACCTTATATTTACCCCTACCTATTATTATTTAACACAATCGCTTACATAAATTTTGGAAAATATTTAACGCTCGCTGGGATCGAATTCCCTAACCTAACGCTCCGCAGGCTAACACGCTCACCATTACGCCACCTTAACATGGGAAAATAAATACAAAATTGATTTGATAAGTTGCGACTGAGGAAAATGAAGACTTCAGGAGCAGAACAATAAAGAAGCAATAATTATATATAAATTATAATTTATTTTTAATGTTAAATAATTTATTTAACATATATAAGTCAATATTTTCATTTTTTATTTTTACCATGTGGTAAAAAAACTTTTTTTGGTTAAAATAAGATTATTTTTTTCATTTTGAAATTCATTTGTTTAAATTAAAATTAATAATTCTTATTAATTTAATCAATTAAATTTAAATTTAAATTATATAACATAAAAATAACAATAATTAAATAAATATATTTTTATTGATTTATTTATTTAAATCGTTATTATGAATATATGTTATCTTAAATAAAATTTTATTTATGCTTACTTGTTTTACTTGTCAATATTAACCCAATAAAATAAAAACTTCAAATCAATTAAGCTTATTATTTATAATATAATGCTTATAATATATGCAAGAAGCATATATGCATGTCAAAGATTGTCAAAGACTGAATTCAGTGACACCTGCTTGACGGACTTATATTAATTTTTTATGACGGTATCCTAGGTCGCATCTTGGTAAATTGTAGACAGCCTACTGTACGAACTTGTACAAAATTATC